AATGCATCTGACAGCAGTTTTGTAACGTCCCATCAGACCACAAGAGGGAAGTAGACTTTCACTGCTGCAATAAAAGCAAACCATGAGCGTCTAAATTATAAACAAACAATAAACATCAGAGACTAAAACCATCTGATGTTGAGAACAGACAAAATTATCAGAGATTTAAAAAGTACGCAGATACTAGGGTCGAAGCATAACCTTAACGCGTAAAAAAACTGGTTTTGAAACTACTTCAAGTATAAAAGTAAAAGTAATGTAAAGAGAAAAAAGTCATTAAGGATAAAACTTTAGGCTGAGCCTCGGGGGTCTACCCCCACAACCAATAAATAAGTAAATAAGTAAATAAATAAATAAATAAATTTCTCTAAAGGTAATAATGACTATAAAATATATTTAAACGTTAATGTAGAAATATTTTTAGACGCAGGAGTCTACATGTTTCAGCTGCAGATCTATCATCTTCATACTAACTCCATTTGTGTGACATGATATGTGTCATCCAGCTGTGATGATCCTACAAACCTGTCAGAAAGGTTAGATTTACACTGCTCATCCAACAGCAGTTAAATTCACTCTGTGGGACAGGCATCATCTGTATAGTTTTATTTTTTTATTTTTTTACAGGACAAGCCGAATGTAACAGGACTCCTTACATTTTTAAATGAAGGAATAGAAAATACAGATAATATGAGAAGGAAAACGTCTGCTGTGGATATTTGTATTTTGTTACTTGACATCTCTGAAAACAAAGTTATTCAGGATTTTGTGTGACAATTCTCATGACTCCTGTGAGCTGAGCTGTCAGTTTCCTCWGGGGGAGGAGCCAACAGGCCAGCTCAGTCACTTCATCAAACAGTTTGTTAATAAACACACRTCTGTATTTCTATYCTTATTAGGACCATCATTTCTGTAACCTGACCCTTACCCTAAACCCCACCCCAGTACATWAACCCCCCTCAGTTCAGACCTCAGTCTTAACCTAACCTCTAACCCAGAGGTGCCCAAAGTGGGGCCCGTGGGCCAAGACTGGCCTGCCAAGCCATTTGATTTGGCCCACCAGTAGTTTTTAATTGCCTGCCATCCTCTGTAGACACTCTGTATTTCCATGAACAGTAATTACATCCAATGGCCCGATGACTAAATAAGGGACTGTAGATAGCTGACTTTGCCGCTGATTTATATTAAGATTACGTTTAAAATACAAGAAACCAAAGAAGATATTTACATTAGATTTAAGCACACATGTAGATTTGAAAACTTTATAAGACTACAAATACTCAAATTTTATCAACATATGAAATGTACAATGAGCCGTTGCTGCCCGATCAAGTGTACGGATTAAAAACACAAACAAACAAAATGTGGGTCACTGCAATGGCTCTTGGCTTAATCATAAAAAGTAAAAAATACTTTACTTAAAGTAGACCAATTATGAGTCCTAGAAATTTTTATGTTATGTCTGTGGACTATCCAGACCATGTTCA